TACAGTGTGGCATACTTTTCATAGCCATCTCAAAATTTTCTGCAGTATTCCTCAGACAGCTACAAGACTGCCGATCAGCTCTCGTCTCTTCTTAACACAGTTTCCACCATACCACCCTTGGACACACACCCAGCTCATCACTCCCCATTCAGGTTCTGCTTCGCAATACACGTTACTCAGCTGTGTCTTTAGCAAGTATCCATTCATCTCCACTTCCCTCTTTGTTTTTCCTCAGCAATCAATTGTTGTCTAGCTGACTATCTACCAGAGTTCCTTAATGCTAATCATTTCTGGTCGATTATCTGATCTTTAGTATGATAAAGATCTACATCAGGCCACTGAAGTGCTTTCGGTGAGGCTCACCAAATCTATGAACCATGGGAAATAAGTGACTTGATGCCGCTGTTAAAACTCTTAGTATTATTCTTTATGCTGCCGACTGGAACAGACTGACGTACTGATTTCTGAGTAGTGAAGGTGTATATTGCCTTTCTGATCCTCGAACCGATACCCTCATTCTTACTACCTGTAGCTGAGACGATGATACTCAGCCAAGAATGTGAAGGAGGTTCCATTCTTCCCCTGATGATAGTGACTGGTGCCTGGGGTTATTGGTTTGGAATCTTCATCATCTGTGTTTCTTTCGTGCCCAATTGAAGCCTTGTTTTCTCTGCCTGCTGCCTCCGCAAACGTGCTGATTCCTGGATATTGATAATCGTACCTGTTATCCAGACTCCTCATAAGTTTTGATCACCAAAAAGTCAAAAACAACTATTGTTTACATTCTTCAAAATGACACCATTTCAAGAATGACAGATGACACCTCCTACTCATATTCAAAGCATATCGCTTGATTTGAGCGGATATGTATATTATTGTGTCAGAGTAAATATTAGGCTAATGGTACATGCCACTACTCAGTATCTCTAGATTTAAATCACTCACACCACAAAGCACTAGAACTTGGTAACTAGATGGTGATGTGAACAATGAATGGCGGTTTCTATCATTAGGGGCATAGGTAATCATCTGCATTACTTGCTGAATACCAGTTTCACAGCCGATTTAGTTCAAAGCCCCGAACAACAAATTGCGTTAAATTATTTTTCAAGAAAACTAAAAAGGAATCAGCTAATGCCTTAAAGATATGAGAAAATTTGAGATAACTCCGCTTCATTTAATACCTACTAGTTGCGAAAAATGATGTCATATCACACTGTATTTACCAGTTTGAATGTACGTGTGAACACACAGACATAGGGAGGACTCATCAATCTCTGCAAGTAAAGGCTTGCCTGAGAACATATTCCTAAATGGTTCCAGAAACAAATGGAATCTTCAGAACCCATGAATGCTGAGAACAGGAGACCTAGCTCCTCTATTGCGAAGCATATTATACAGACAGGATATAAAATTCATGTTTACACGTCTTTTAAATTTATCTGTAAAACTTGTGTTGGGGCGTATCCTAAAGTTTGCGGAAACCCTAGTTGGCAGTAAGGATGCTTAAACCACCTTTATGCGCTCAAAGCAGCAATTCGTCATCTCACTAAATCTATCTTCCTTAGTTGAGTGATATTCATTGTTATTTTGACCTTCAACATGTCCTTTTAACTTCACCTACGTAGTCTATTTTCTCACCTCTTAACTCTTTATTCATTTCATACATATTCTGTATGACAAGTCCATGTGTGTGATCAGATTGTTTGAAATATGTTGCACGAATTCACATTACACGATTCAGACAAAGAAGCGGTATTGTTGCGTAACGTATCATCAGTAGGTATCTACACCTCCCGGAACACCAGTTCCATGCGGTTTACACATACGCCTAATATTTCGCTGCATAACTCTTATCAAACATGATTGAATCACTTGCATTCTACAACTTGCCAACTTGAATTCGCCTTCGAAAGCCAATATGACTATTCCTGGGTAAGCATTTATTTTATGATTATCTCTAATATAGATTTAGTTAAAAAATATCTTGTATCTCCACTTGTATTTCCATCGGCATACACTGAAGCAGCCTAGAAAGTTCATTATATATTACATGACCTTAAAAACTGCAATCTTCCTGATAGCAGTAGACTGGATAATGCGATAAACAACGGCTGGGCAATGAGGAAACAGGCATAAAATGGACTCACACAAAAAACTTGGAGGATCTGGACTTCGCGATGATATATGTCTGATTTCCCACAAACTGGAAGATATGCAAGTGAAAAGCGACAAGCTGGCAGAAGAAGCATCAAAGGTAGGCGTTCACTCCAGGTGAACATAGATAAAGCAGAGGTGATGAAGATTCTTGGCCAACAACAACAGAAACAATAACAACAGACAACAATCAGCCAGCACAAATGGGGGAATCTGAAAGAAACAACCTCCTTTACCTACCCAACTGGGAAGCATCGTTTTGACTACAGGCGGAACTGATGAGGATATCAAAGCCAGAATCGGAAATGCAAGACAAGCTTTCATTACTCTCAAGTCTGTGTGGAGGTCAACATCACTCAGCATGAAAAATAAGATCCGGATTTTCAACTCCAATGGGAAGTCAGTGCTACTCACTATACGGATCAGAGACTTGACGCGTCATAAAGAGCATCTCAAACAAACTACAGACCTTCATCATCAGCTGCCTTCGCTCAATACTCAAGATCAGATGGCTGGCCAGAAAATATCAGCAACAGCGAGGGATCTCTAGCAATGAGCGAACCAACCAGGAACCTATTGTGAAACAAATAGACAGGAAGAAATGGAGATGGATTGGCCATACGCTGAGGAAACCATCAAGTGACATCACTAGATAAGCCATTGCTCGAGTGGAACCCGGCGGAATAGGAAGCCGCGAGTTGGTCGTCAGTACAAGGGTGACTTGGAGGAGGTGATGTGAAGAGGAGATGAAAGCATGTGGGCAGACTTGGAGTGGAGTGAAAAAGTTGGCAGAAAACAGAAGCCAATGGAGGTGCGCAGCTGAAGCCCTATGTTCCTCGAGGAATTAAAGGATAGAATAATAATAATAATTTCCAGACGTTTAATTTGAATCAGAATTTTGTGTTTCCTACTCAGTTAAAGGACCTTCAGCCACAAGTTACAGCTTTATGCTCAGGAGAGGTGATTGAAGATGAACTAAATATTGTACATGACACCTTGACGGAAAATAGCTATCCAGACGAATTCATCAGGAAGCACATAACCAAAAATGCAGAAAAGGTCAATTCTCTGGGGTTCGATCCCCGGCCGACGCACTCCTTTACCTCGCTAAGCCAGAAATAATGCTGGTGAAGAGGAAAGGTTGAGCATGAGGCTAGCAACCCCATCCTGTAAAATAAACATTACTACAGAAACTTCAAGCCGCTAGCTTGAAGCCCTATGTTCCACTGGGGAACGTGAAGGAAAAAAAATAAGAAGCATTTATACATACGGCTGCAATTCAAGAGCGATAAACCTAAGGAAATATTTACGAAGGGGTTAAGAAAATCAGTTCAAAGAACTTTTACTGTTGGTAAACTACAAGTCTTATTTTCTACAAGACAACTCAATTGAAAGATGAAGTACATAGACTTGCCATTTTTAATTGCATCTACTAATTCAAGTGCGCTTGTGTTGGGGCCAGTTACATTGGCCGCTGCATTAGAAACACCTAACAGTGTAGCTAAATAAAGGTGTAGTGAGAAACATCAACAGTTTAATATTTGACCATCTAGTTCAAACTGGCTGGCCACAAAGCCAGCACTGATGAATCCTTCTCTATCATTTAGCGGGTACCAAATAAATTGTCGAAAACATCCAGCTACTGTATACTGTAATCCACTGATATTATTATTGATTACTGCTGTTAATAACACTAATCCATTCACCATTATGTACATATAACTGTAGAACCTGATGATGAAGAGGTTTTCGAAAGGAATATTCTTTGTTCAATAACCATTCTCTTGAAACAATACCTAGAATATTCTATTTACTTATCTAGCTGGCTAATTAGTTTGTAGAAAATCAGTGAGTTAGTCAACCGATATTAGATAGTCGGAGGCAATCGGCAGAATGCGCTGGTGTGGTGATTGACAATTTCTATCTCTGTATTGTTTAAATACTTACTGTTGACTGTTAATATGCTTCTTATATGAATTGCATAAGAATTCCGCTAAATACAAATTCCTGAATTCCGCCCTCTCTGTGTTTTGTTTGGATTCTTGTAATTCGGTCATCTTGGAATACTAATACTACGACTACAAATAAATTACTACACCTGGACCTAAGTTTCGTGCTAGTTGGCACTCTTTAGCAAATATGTGATATCATCAAATCACTGTGTATCGTGATGGCGAGCTACCTAAAATTGTGGCCAAATTGCAAACCTGACTGATAGAATTCAGTCTGTACCAAAGAAACAAAATAACTAGCTAGACACATCACACTAGTTACTAGTGTCCTATCAAAGTATCCACTACAGTCCTACAGGAGATCAGTCGCGAGCCTAAATAGCTATGTGGTAACGCCTCCGACTGCAGGCGGCACTGGGTGATACGGGTTCGAATCTCAGAAGGGACATGAATTCCTTCAAGGCAGTTGCAGATACGCCTTGCTGACTAGTGAGTGCCAACTAGCACGAAATCCAGGACTAATCAAGTCTTCCTGTGGCCGATTGTCTCCAACCATCTAGTTACTTAGTTGTCTAATTGTTGACATTAAATAAGAGTCTTATGATAGGGTAAACAAACTAATTTCTAAGAGTGTATCAATAATAATATTCTTACCATTGGAATAATAAATTATCAGGCTTCATTTTATCATAATAGCTACAACATTTCTGTTTACAAAGAACCAGGCTTTCTTCTCTTCAGATAAATTATTTTTAACTACAATTTTAATAAATTTAAACATATAAGATAATAATCAGAGCAATGACGTGTGCAGTTGGAGAAAAACACAAATGTCGATCGGCTAAGGTATACAAACCTGCATATCGAAATGTAATTCCATATATCACTAAAATGGCAGATCCTAAAATTTTTATAGCCATCTTGTCTGTTTGCATTCTCTTTGAATATGTTAGTGGTAAGTTGAAGTTCTCTGTGTTGATTGTTAAGTAAGTGATTAATGATATTTTTATTGAAAAAGATCACTTTATGATCTAGTGCCCCTAACGTGTACAGACAAAATTTTAGTGAACTTGTGATACCTGAAGGTCAATGAGATGGGACACTGGTCTGGCCTTACAGAGTAGATACATAAGGCAGAGATAACCCATACTCTTTATGTGACTATATGCATTTTAGGAATATGGTTCTTCCCTTATTTACTGTTTGACTGTACATTTTGCATAACAGCACTTCTGGTCTTTTGAATACATGGGTCTGCAGAATTACGGACTATTACAACGATTGTACAAGATGACCTAACAGTTATCAAACAATATATCAGAACATTCACTTTACTTCTTCAAGAATAGCAGTGTTACAACCAAAACTGATTTGTTGTTGCGGTCCGAATATAGGAAGCTAATCTTCGCATCCCATTATGTAACTAACTAGGACTTCCTTGAAACACGTACGGTCACGAAATCTACGTGGTTCTATTCAAACCTCAATAGTGCTGTTAGACAGCTATACAGGCTAGGTAATTTTCTGTTTAACATGATAACATCTTTTATTTTATCAAAGTGTATTTTAAATTTATGACGCTGTCTCGTCTTGCAGACAGACAGAATCACGTACTGAATAGTCACTAGATAAGTAGCGCCAAGCAAAGTGAAACATTGTTTCTGCACACACTTCTTCTCATTTATGATTCTGAATAAAACAAGAATAATGGTTGGTACAAAACACAATGATACCATCAATGTTTATTTCGTTGACTTCTCATCAGCTGCGTACAGCCTGAAGAAGTGAATAGGTTTATGTACAGAATACTTCTTAACATACTTGCAAGTCATAGGAGACTCACCCCAAGTTTAGACAAAGCGATAAGAAGACGTAATTTGTTTGAATCGTGTAATGTTGTATTTCTGCAACACATTTCGAACAATCTAATCCATCATACACGGACTTGTCATAGGAATACATACATGTATGAAATTAATAGAGTTAAAACGTGAGAAAATAGACTACTTAGGTCAAGTTAAAAAGACACACTGAAGGTCTAAAATAGCAGTGAAGATCACTAAACAAAATAAGAGAGTTAATAGTACATCTGCCCTGGCTGGTATCAAAACAAAGTTTACGAAGAAACATAGGTTTAGTAAGATGATGAATTTTTTTGAACACATAAAGGTGGTTTAAACATACTTACTGCCAGCTAGAGCTTCCACAAACTTTAGGATACACCCCAAACAAGTGTTACAGATAGATTTAAAAGACATGTAAACATTAATCTTCTTTCCTGTCCTACAATATGTTTCGCGACAGAGGAGCTTAATCATCATCTATTCTCACCGTTATTGGGTTCTGGGGATTTTGTTTGCTTCTGGAGTCATTCAGAGATATGCCATAAAGCCCATACTTGCAGAGATCGATGAGTTATCCCTTTCTATGTGTGGCTACATGTACATTACAAGTGGTAAATAGATGTTCTAAGGGCTTAGATGGATTATAGTGATCCAAACTGCATAAAAAGTCTTTTTAACTGCTGAGTTCAATCTTTGTCTAGTTGTCAAGCTGATATGATCACCGATGTAGAATAGCTTTATATATATATATATATATATATATATATGTCTTTCTTAGCGGCTAACTGGAGAGTAGGTCTTCGTGTTTTGACTACTTTATATCTCCTAATAAATTTGTCTGGATAATTATTATCGACCAGAGTTTGTGTCATCTTTCCTTCTTCCTCATCAAGTGTGTCTCCAGTGCATCTTTGTTGGATTCTACTTAAGTGCTGGGAAATTACACTTGTATGGCTTTTACCCAGCAACTACAAGTTTAAACGAAAGTAGAGGCTTGGTACAATATCAAAAGAGTTATATAATAAAGATAATGAGTAGCTAATAAAACGATTAGCAGTTTGGTTAATCCAACTGTGAGACCGCAGAAACAGGAGACAAGCCGAGATACGGTTTATCAAGGGAGGAGAAGAGTTTATAGCCAATGATTATTCAACTGAATCAGCGGGGGAGGAGAATCAAGGCATCTAGGTATCCGAGAAAGAAAAGACTGATAACTGCTTCTTTCTGAACACATAAATCGGGTTTCAAGCGCTTGATAGAGAATGCTTCAGAGAACTTGAGGAGAATTGTACTATACTTGTCTACTGGTAATTTTGAAGGATCTCATAATGTTCTACTCATGACTTGTATCGATGAGATGGCTGGCAATGACAGTGTTGTAGACATTTGTTCCCTTGAGACGTAGGCTGTTTTTTGGAGATGCGCTCTTTATTCTATCCTCCCTAATATAGCTACTGCCTCAGATGCATGTATATTTGTATATGCAGTTAGAGTTAACACTAAAAGAGTATTTGCCGAATTTTAATTGCACCAAAGTCAATGTTATCTGATAAATGGGGACCAGTTTAGCTGCAGGAGAGATCCGAGAGATGAAAATATTGTCTCAAGATTTCAATTCTTAATTCCTTAGAATTAAGGAAAGAATAATAATAATAATAACAGCTTTATTCCAAACAGTATTTGTGGTACAGGTATGGAATTTTCAGCGTGCATTACAGTATATTGCATCTAATTACCTCATAAATTATATAAGATTTTTATAAATCAAAGATAAATAAATAAAAATAAGATAAATAAGTTATAAATAGATAAAATAAATAAATATTAAAAATTAAGAAAAAAAACAGCGTAGAGTATTTCATTTCAAACAATGCACCACAGGATTTGAAATATAAAGTTGATGTGTGGTAGTAGGTGAGAACAACAGTGTAGTAGTAACGAGGAAAGGAAAAGAAAACCTAATGAGACTATTTGTTAGAGTGCTGCATTAAGTTTATCGTTTCATACCTAACGGATTTCTCATCACATAACAGCTGTGCCAGATATGGTATTGTGGACTTTTGGTATTTGGTAGTCCTAGCATATAGCCTCCTATAGCTGCTTCTAGTTCTTCCAGATGAAATGCTAGGAGATAGATGCGTATAGAGAGGATGCTCGGGGTCCGACAATATTGTATTCGCTAGTTTCTTACATGACATAATATGTCTATCTACAATAGTGTTCACCAGTTGGTTTAACGATATCCCACTTGCCCTACTAACAGCTTTTAGTGCCCTTCTCAGCGAAGCAAAGTCTTTCTTAAGTAGTCCAGGAAAGACTAATAAGGAGCAGTAAAGGAGGATGGGTAGAATACAAGAATTTACAAACTGAGAAAGTAAAGACTGGTTTATGCCAGACTGCCTAAAATTCCTAATGTAGAACGTTAAGCGAAACATCTATCTAGTAACTAGCAAGATGTGGGAAGACCAGGAAAGATCGGTGGAAAAACTCAGCCCAAGGTACTTGACATAAGATGTATTTTCAACCTCTGTGCCGTCAATGAGAGTGGGGCCATGTGAGCTAACTAGTTGCTGTAGGTCACATTTACGTCTGAAAGTGAAATTGACTACCTGACATTTAGACGGATTAAGCTTAAGTCCGTTTGAAGAGGACCACTGACTAATTTTCGACAGAAAGCTATTTAATTTGGAACAATCTGACTGAGAGTTGTCAGGCTTAGAAAAACTTTAGTAAATTTGTTTTTTCTATTTATACACATTGAATTTGTAACATTCACATGACTGATTTAGGTATAAAAATAAAAGCTAGAAGACGTTAAATACACTCATAGTTCCTCTCCTCATCGTGAAATTCTCTATCCTTTAAGATTTCGATATATTTACTTACCTGAAATAATTTATCACGCTGCTGAATCAATTTTGTTACAGATGTTTAGGCCAGCAAATTCATTTTTCGTTTCAATTGAAGTAGCCTTCACTTTTATAGATCCGGTTGTTCAGATCATGAAATTCCTGAAATACTACGTTTTTTATTTGTGCAGTTATAATTAGGAAGACAATGAACCCTCTACAAATAAGTTTTCTAGCTCAGAGACCCTACATACACCAACATCAAAATCCACTTGATCTAGAGGTTCTTATCCATTGTTTCTGTACCCCATCAGTATTCGACATTCATAAATTGTATTAAGTAAATTTAAAAAAACTAGTGAAAGAAAGAAATTTGCACATAAATTTATTAAAATTTTAATTACTTCATTGGATTTCATAACAGGAGGCGGTAAGTTTGCAAACTTTGCTTTTTTTATCTTAAGTTTTATTTTAGTAGTATTTATTGTCAGACTGAAAAAATAAAGCCTGGTTGGAAAATCATACTGCGAAAACGCTGAACTCAAGGTATTCGCCTCCTACTTTAGGAATTCTGTGTAGACTATTCTAAAACTTCGTACACATAAATTTATCTTGAATATGAAGAAGACTTACCTTGTCATCCAAAGGTTCTTAGTTTGATCCCTGTTATAAAATAGGGCAAAACACTAGTCCATGGCATCCCAGTTTTCAACGCATCTATAACTGGTTTAGATCTAAGGGGATTAGTGTCAACCAGATCTTTAATAGGTGTTTTTCATTACAAATCACAGCAGATATATCTTTGTAATGAATTTTCACTAATAGTAATTATTCCTTGTCTGGATGTTATAAGAATAAATGAAAAAAAATATGTTCCTGAATGTGTCAGTCAAAGACACTGAATGTCAACAATTATAAACGAGGATGAAAGGCTAACACTTAGGCCACAGAATTGAGAATTTGTATTTGTCGTAAACAATTACACTGACAGTAACTCTACATAAGTTTTGATCACCATGCAAAAGTAAGAGCGCCTTATTGAGAAGTAAATATTATGAAAACAAGATGCTTGAGTATTGCAGAAATTTCGCTGACACTTACAATGATGATTGAGTGAAGTGGATATTTCAGAAAACCTAAGTTTTTATTTTTCAGTCGTGTGGCCTGTTTATATATGCTGAATAATCAACACTATAGAGGCACCTTTATTAGCTATCAAGGATGTTTAATCAAAACAATCGTGAATCCCATTACACGAGGACCACTTATATTCTGAATAACAAAACATCATGCAGAAAACATGTGACACTAGAAAAGGTATAAATACAGACAACAGTTTGCTCATAAAACTCAACAATACAGTTCCACATCACAATGCAGGCTTTCTACTTGCTGTTTCTATTCTACTTCGTCGGCATAGCGGGTGAGTCTTAATTGTTTCCGTTAAAATTCAATGTCACAGCGAAAGTGAGTAAGCTTCGTTTGACTTCACACTGACCACACTTCGATGAAATGTTTCTCACTGTACAGCAGTCTTTCATACGGTAGTGTAAACCGTGCTACTGTGTATTACAACCTGAAATTCGTTGCTATTCGTCATCATAGCAAATATAGCTTTTGATGTTTATTTTGTAATTTTCTGTTTCATGATCCAGTGTTCGTTTCGTTCAAAATTCGACGGCTGCACACCAAATCATAATTTCTTATGTCAATAAGCTTGGCCCACTGTACATTGAGAATAAGTAATTCACGAACTAGCTAGTGCAGTTGTTGACACCAGTGATGGACAGTTCCTTCAGTTGTAATGATAAAATCCCGTTTTTCAAACAAAAATTTGCACCTGTTAACTACCTGAGTACTTCTGATGTACGTAGGGGATGAACTGAAACTATGCGTCAGAAATTTCACCTGTGGTTTAATTTTCAAATACATTACATGTCTAATGAATATGTCAAAATGTTTGGAAATTTTTTCATCATTTTACGAGGCCAGGTTTTTCTAAATCCATTTGGTTTGACCCTCTGAAAGCGTGCTATATTTCATGTGGATAATGAATTGGGTAAATTGTGTTGTCGAAATACTGATTTCATCTAATGGTTTATTCCTTAGACTGTTGGCAACGTAGTGAGTATTCATTTAAATAATTTATCCGCCATTTTTAATGTACTTCGTTTTCGACATTTTATTCATTTTGATACGAATGAAAACCGTTTGTTCAAACGTTTTTTGTTGTACTCCTGAATTCATTGATTCAGAACAATATTATGAATTATAACCCCTTTTGGGTCAAACTTATATAGATACTTCTCATTGTGAGGTCATATAGCGCATGGTGATCTGCCCTACGTAACCAGCTAAGTACCATTTCACCTTCATAAAATTTTAAATAATCCCATATGTATGACATTTGCCTCAAATGCTTATTCGCATATACGTGAGCAGAATGAATGAAACCATTTATTTGCAACCGACGTCTCTGCTGCCGAAGTGAGATTTAGAATTGCAAATATTTTGATAATGCTTCTTTCTAACCAGAAACTACATAGTGTAGATCATGGTCACTGATTGCATATCGGACTTGTAGCCTAATTTCCAATGTGACTGATGTACCTGCTCGCCAAACATGACCCTGTATAATAGCGTAAGGTATGAACGTGATTTTGTAGGTTGAAGATTCTAAGCTGGTGAAAAATGCTGACTAAGTGAACACAAACTATTGCTTTATATGCTTAAACATATTCTATTCTATGTTTCAAACACATTCATACAGTTATGCAAAATCCAATATCATATAAATATAACCATCCAATATTTCAGCGCAGCAGTGCATCTTTTTGCAAATAATTAGGAAACAGCAGATGGGTGGGGTTAATATTAACTTGAAAGTCTCCATTTTTCAATCGAATTGAAAAGTAGGCATTGCTACGATCAGTCGGTTGTCTTCCCGATTCACTATTTTGAGAAATCACTAAATTATCAGTCACAAAAGCTCAACCAGTTGTACATACGGTAATTTAGTAAACAGATGAAATGTATCTTCACTAATAATTAAACATCACATTAACAAATCATTATATCTCTTAATATTTTCCACAGCTCCTCATATACGTAAGTCAAGATTAACTGCATATAATGCGTATTTATTGGAACATTGAGGGGAACTCATGTGTTACTGACTGAAGTAGTATTTTCGTATTCAGTGGTGTGAAACATGGTGTAATATACAAAAAGGAATGAATAATTTACCATGAGCTCTTCAGAAATCACATTAGTTATCTTGTTAAAATGAACCTCAGAGAATTTTGCAGTTACTCTAACTTGGTGTATTGTGTGATCAGTAGAGTGGCGAACACACTGTAAACTGTAACATTTTGCCTTCTAATTCATGGTGAAATTGTTCTGGGATTCATCATTTCAATCTACAGTGGATGCGGCTATTTTGTGGTCGTTCTCTCCTAACTAATATTTAACACCAGAATGACAATCATATCTAGTGTTCTAATAACCAGAATAATAAGCGGTGTTTAACCACAGTAGTACTCGTACAGTTTGAAGTTGGTGAATATCATATCCCAGTGCAACAGCTTAAAATAAACATTTTGTGAGCTATATGCAGCTTACTTCTTCATGCTGAACAATCGGCTTTTCGATAAGACGATTAAACAGAATTTCTCACGGTATTTCATGTTATAATAGCCAGTTTCTTACTTATGCCTCTGTTTCACTAAAATCGGCATAGAATGATTTTGAACTGGTTTATTCTATTTATTTTACAGAGGCTGCGATTGAACAACTACGTAAGTTAAGCATTTCAAAATCAACAGAAAATTTACTTGAAATAAACGAATCGGATAAGCATCCAATGGCCATTCTGGAATTGAGTATTTTGGTTTGATGAAATAATCATCCTCTGGTTTGGCCAGTTTTGAGACTGAACTAAAACAATTTCAAGAAGTTAAAGAAATTACTCGAAGTGAAACTACTCGATTACAACAATCGAAATTGTCCCACTTGGTTATACTCATAGGTAGCTAAAATGAACACATTTGTCTCATTTCACACTGTTAATATTGACCGTTAATGAGACAATGTGGATTGAACAGCAGGATTCCTATTCATGTAATGCATAGTGACTGAATGTGGATAAATAGGATAATTGCCATGGTTGCAGGTGGATTTGAACCAAAAGCCTGTGAACTGAAATTCTGGGCATCTATCTCCTGAAATATGAGAACGAGATGTTAATCACATTGTCTGCTTACTGAGAATAATGTCATGAGTGTCAAGTTTGGTAACTCTTGGTAACTTTTGTGAATTGATGAAATTCAAACAGCATTTTCGTAATACTTAGACTAACGTTTTCGCTCATCAGGACACAATATTTAAATTTGATTTCTACTGTTTTTCATTTTATGTACAGAGGAAATAGCTTTAAACAATGGTATGATTCAAATGTAACTGGTATTATTTATAAACCGACACCTGATTAAATAATGAACGTTCTTGGTAATGTCCACTGCACAAAATTCGCATTATATTAACTATGGTCTGAGTCCTACTTCAGATACTTAATGTTCATTTTATTACCTTTGAATATTGTCGATTTCTTACACGCTTTGGCGAATTTGAAATAATTCGATAGGTATGAATAGACTAATTCTTCTCTATTGGTCATTTTGTCACTATGGCTATGCAAAGCCAGTATTGTCCGACGGCATATAAACACTTATGCTGGCTTATAGCAAGTGCTGTGTAAGTAATGAAGCTTCCATCTCAGAATGAGCATGAATGTTGACTATTACAATTTTGTACACTGAAATCATAGTGTATCTCAAATTTCCATAGTAGGACATGCTCACCGCACAGATATATCTGTGTAGGTGCAAGCGAAAGTGCTCAACATGGAGTAATTATCAGGATTTCACTGTTCACACTCTCAATGTCATTTTACTTGTACTCTTCAGTGAAATAGCGGAATTAACTGACGTCAAATCAAGCTCAACACCTTATGTGTTAACCAGTCATAAGGAGCTTCCGTTTGCATTCTTTAATCGAATTCCGCCTACCTATACTGAGATTAGAGTTAATTCAATAAGTGCAGTTTATCAATTGAAAATGATGATTTCTTAGAAAATGCATCAAATTACCAGTTTTTTCAAATTGCCTAACTGAAATAGCACAAATCAAATTTGCTTCCAACCGTCTACCTAAATTTCTACATGTCTTATTGTAAAAATGTAGATAAAATGTATTTTATGAGACGAGGTTCCCATTGATTCTTCTCTAGGTTCATACCTATGATACTATCAAAATCAACACTTTACTCGAGATCTTTCTTTGATATATCTTAGGTGCTGTTCAATTAAGCATATACTTCCTGTACAAATTATAAAACTCATAAAATTACTGAACTAAATCATTTTATTTTGTAATTGTCTTTTTACAGAGCACCAAATAAGTCTGTTAGGTAGGTTTCTGGAGTTTCATTCAAACTTTGAGAACGTTTTAGCTCTGGTTTTCACAGGAACTTACATATTACCTACTCAGATAAAACTATAGTCATATTTTCGTACAGTCCGTTGCCTTTCTAGCTTGAAAATATTTGAGGGATAACACGAGCTCGTTTTATATTCTGGATTGTCTTCAACGGCGTACATCCTAAACGAAATCAGTTAAAAGTTGCAAACTTTCTGAACGTAACTTAAACAGTGATTTCGAATTATAAATTGTAACTCTGTTGCCTCTACTTTCTGTCTATAAGTCAAAGTCATTATGAAAGTTAGGCTCAGAAACTTTGTAACTTAAAACTAATTTTATTTAGCATGTACTCAGTTGAAGAGAACCCACGAAATTAAAACAGCTCGTATTATCCTACTTTATTGAAAAGCTTATATATTCATAAAACCATGAATAAGGTTGAGTAAGAGTTGGTCAATGATGTACAGAAAGAAGTCAGCTGTTGATGAATTCTGCAGTGAAGTATGAATGGTCGTGATTTTAGTGGAAATTCTTCCAAACTTACACTGCTCAAGAAATCAAGGAGAAGTTGGGCATTTTCTTCATGCCAAAAGTTTTCATACTAATTTCCAACGAGATAAAAGTGTAACCAGCTGCAATTCATATAATGAAATCACCGTTTTTGTCTTTCTTTCTGCCTTTTACTTTAAAAAATTTTCATCATACACTACTTGATTTTTTCCAATTAATTTTTCCTTGGGAACTTATGGTATTTTACCTCATTCAACTGTTTTACATGTTACATTCATTTCCAGACGCATGCTGCAAAGCAAATGGTGAGTATAATAAGCCACTGGTGATTTCACAAAATAAACAAGCTGTATTATGCTTATTTCCAACTAAAAGGTGGTTCAGATGAAGATAGGATAACTTCTATACAACTTGTTCGACATCCTTTGAAGAATTAACGGCAATATTTGCTTAGTATTTAGCATACAATAGATGAACAATCCTATTAACATATCTACTATCCGTCGGTCATAGTGTCTAACTACAACGAAAACAACACAGATGTTGCAATCAATGTTATCAGTTAGAACACCGAAATTGTTTTCATGCATACTTACCCAGACAGGAGAACTTCAGGACTATTAGTGAATAAAGTAAAACAGAAACCAGAAAAGCAGAAGAGTCAGGCAACAAACATGTCGATTATTGTATGCCCATCATTTCACATCCAGATTTATATTTCATATTATAAACTATAATGAGTTGTCAACATTTGCCTCGAATTATTTGTAGCTCAACGTATTCGTGATAATGGTGAGTGCAGTAGTTGTACGATGAAGAACAGTGTCTTAAATATGAAGTTATAAATACTTTTGATCAAATATGTAACCACAGAGAAAGACAAATAATCCGAATTTCGTCAGACGATAAGTCAACGCCTAGTTTAGTGTCACGGGAATGCCTTATTCGATGTTCACATATTAAGGCCTCAGCACATATTACGCTGTTGAATGGATAAGAGCAAATAGAAGATATTTTCCAATCAATTTGCGATTTATTGAAGCATATTAATCAATAGTCAGTGACTGCAACATGTCTGCAAATATACCTTGCGATCATGTTAGAATAAATTTCAACGGACTAGTGTGATTCCATCAAGAATAAATATTCATTTGGTAATGAGTTATTCATAATTTAAGCGTAATATCTGGATATGATTTTAGTCAGAGTATCATTTGAAATGTATAACTATGGGACAGACTGCTGTTTCAGTCATCAGATTTTAATTATGAGCAGAGTGAATAGAACTTGAATAATCTTTCATTTCTCCCACTATTTAGTTAAAAGTATCTTATATTGAATACACATAATAATCATAATGTAAATCATTTTATCAATATATTTGTTTGTTCTAATAATGAAGAGGCATCAATCGATGAACTTTGTAAGTTATGAAAAGTGCGCATTTTATAAACATATTGAACTGATGATTTTTAGTAGGATAAAATAGATAAGAATTTGTATTTTCCTCTCTTTCTTCAGTGTTGATATTTAAAGCAGCATATTCTGTGATTAAGTAATCACAATAATGTTGGCTTATGCTAGTTCAATTGGTTGTGAATAGAGTTAAAAGCAGTTGCACAATATACCGAATAATCACTGCAGATTCAGAAGAGCAGATACGTAGATAATTGATAAGAAAGAAAACGCTTGAAGACAATACATGTACATATGGTTTTATAAATGTCATATAATTCATCTGAAGGACTTAAAACGTTACCTTGTGTTCATCAGCGCTGAGTATTTCCATATATTTCAAAACACGAAGTCCATTTGAACACCGAAACTTGGGTGGTGGAAGATTCATGACCATGGTGTTATAAATTAGCAGCCGGTTTCTTCTATCACTAATGTTCAGTGACTAATTGTCAGGAGAATACTATGTAAGTTGTATTCTCTTTTCAATCGAGTTATAAACTTGGAATGAATACTGTTGATTTCGGTTCAACTCATATTATGAGTGTCACTTAATGAATACACATGACAGATATATTGACTCTTCCGGAACATTACAGAAATTAGTTCAACTTTGTGAAAAATACTTGATCATTACTGTTACGAGAGTTTTACATTTTACTTTCTTTGAAAAAGTTGACCGGCTCAGCAGAATGCGTAAGTGATCATGTATATTGAGATGAAGAGTTATGATTTGTGAAATTGCCATTCTGTTACCCTGTTGATTAAGTGAGAATTTGCATAGTTGTGTGAAAATAAAACACGTCCTGTGACTCTATTTAAAGGAAAGACACTAAAATTTCAATTTCTTAAATATAAACACGACAAATCTTTATAACATCACTGTAGTTTTAATGTCTTTATCAGTGAAACAAAAATGATATCAAATAAGTTTGAAACTGGTTTATATGAGATGGGTGAAATCTGCCACAAGCAGTGGCTATTTACGTCAACTGACGTCTACATAAGTCTATGGGTTTCTTGATCATTTCATTTTTTTGTGTGATTGACGTTAAGAAGTAGTTTTTACGAGCTTGCCTCACTTTACCGTAACACGTAGACATCACTATACATCATGGCGATTCAGCTTAAGTGTTGATTGACGTAGGAGATGATAAATCACTTTGACAATTACAATCACACCTGTTGTACTCAAAATGACTGACTAGACGATGCATGAATGGCAAAAGTTTTGTTAGAATATTCACATTTTCTATCAGACATTCAATCTATGACTAACCATTGTGAAGGTTTGAATAAAATGCACATGTCTCTAGTGTTACCGTAATCAAACTGAAAAGGGCAACTAGGCGTGAGAAGTAAATGTCATCTCATTCCAAAGAAAATAATATACCAATTTATCTTTTTTCAAATTAACAAGATCTCAAGAATATTTTCATGACTGCTTTCTGGTCAAAACAGATTCAGGTTCACCAAGTAGCGGTAAGTCAAACGTGACAGATTTCATCTCATACATTTCGACACTTTTCGAGTATTCGTCAGACAAGAATATTTGGACAGCGTTATTAGAAGACAGAGATTATTTGTGAGCGACGCCATCCAAGTGTATCAAAGAGACTAACTGCTACAAATCAATGAATATTTCAGAATTAGAATGACGTGAGGAAGAAACAAAATAAAAAGGATTTCATAATCAGCCTTGATTATAAAATACTTCGACACACCCAAATTATTAACAGAAAACTGACTGGTTGAGAAACGCAAATGTGAAAGTTCGGACGTAATGTTGACGAAGCTCCTGTGAGAGAGGCTTGTCAGATACACTGCCAGTTTGCTAGCAATAGAAAACAATAAGTACATTCAGACTTTTCAGTCGTGAACACCAAACATAACTACTCAGTTGAGTCAAAATACTTTTTAACTTCATGCAATATCACCACAGTTTATAACCTAGATGACTATGTATTCTCATGCATGTATTTCATTTTGAAGGCCCAAGTAAGCTGACTATGAATACATTTCTTTATTTTTCCTATACAAACTTTCACTAATAATTCAGTGAAAACAGATCCACCCAACACGCCACCCATAATCAATGTTATGACTATTCACTACAAACCAAACTGTTACTTTCACTGTGATGAGGAGACACGAGACAGTTTATTTAGCTGCTTTGTCGATATTGAGGCGCTCTAGTATTGTAATTTGAGTTAGCAGGAACCTCCTGTGTTGTCTTCTCTCTATGTAAATCTATGATTTAAATGCAACTGCATATTATGGAAGAGTCAAACTCATTGTAATTCAGTTCCTGTCAACATTATCCTTAGCAATTCACTCACGTTTTAATTCTTTAAAGCAGGTTCAACTAACAACCACCAAGGTAATTTCAAAATCTCGTTGTTTAATCAATATTAAACATAAGGGTAGAAAATACTGTCACTATTATTCAATTCATTCAACTTCGTGTACAACAACACATGTTGGATTTACATGAGCAGATATAAACAAAATCCTTGTGTAGATTACCATGATTCCATCTGTGTCATAGAAAAAATTATTCAGAAACAGGTGTCATCCCACTTAAGATGAATTACATTGAGATTTCCATTTGACATAAAAGGGATTCTGCTAATGACCTTAGGACTACGATGAATCTTCACATTGCTCACAACGCATTTTAATGTCAATAATTCAAAAGTGATGGTATTAATGTGGTATACTGGAGAAATTTCAGACTAGATATGAATTATGTGCCTATAAATTTACTCTAGTAGCAGCCTATTTGCACCGTAATTTCCGAATAACTTTAATAAGCTATCTCATACATTAAACTAACCCTTCAAACAACTTGCTTTATGGTTAGCATTCTGCAACTTCAGCTTGCACGTGTAAGACCATTCACGTTAGCGAAGTACAACAGAGAAACAAAGACGCTGAATAAAGAACCTAGGCGAGATATACTTGTTCAATGGAACATCACGGCAGCAAATGTCTTGACCGGATACCAGATAACACATATCCGCGGCATTCAGAAGTGTCAGTGGAGCTAAATCAACATGTAGTTATTTAGTTATGTTTCCTAATATTTCATCTATCAGACGGTTTAAATGTATCCATTCAATATGCTGGTAATACACATATTGCTGATGATTCACCAGATATTGAATTGTTATTTCCACTGAGAATTTGAACCATGTGAGGGTTTGTTTGACTTTCTCGTTGCTTATGGGGCGCGTGATATTGTGAAGACTAGGTGTAGCAGTTCAAATACAAAATCCCTTAGAGCATCTTATTCTTTTCATATGAGATAAAATTTCAAGTGTTTGCATCATATTCAAATATCAGTTTTATTGCGAAATACTTATCCCTTAATCACAAATGTAACCTAACTTTATCTCATTCCCTATTGAAACAAATCCAGAACCAGGTCACGAAGAACCAACTGGAGATGCAGAAGAGCCAGAAGGTAATTTGAAAGGTTCACCATGTTACAAATATCGTGATGGAAGTATTCACAGATTCACATTCATTTATTTTCATGACCTGTAAAATTAGTTTTCTGGATAATTAAATTGATTTACCACAAATATTTTGGAATAATGGTGAGAAGAAGCTACTGCCACAGCACAACTGTCAGTTCATTCAGGTTAGAGAACGAGATATACAAAATGAAGTTTCACAACTAAAGAGAAATAATTTCGTCTAACGAAAAATCACTGCAGAGTTCATCCTAACTGAATATCTGATACCTGATGTAGTTTATAATAGAAAAGTTTCAGGCACGACAAATGTAGATCACATGATAATACAGTTTTCTTTCATTATATACCACTTATCAACTGGTTTAAACAGGTCCAGACAAGATAAGAGGCCTATAAACAAACTGCTCGTCGTTAATCACGTGTGAAATTGTTACTTTCACTGTGATTATGAACCACAAGATGGTTTTCTCAGATTCATAGTAAATTTCGAGGCACGTAGAATCGGTGTATCAGTTGGAGGCCGTAATGTCCTACTGCATTTTGTCTTCTCTGTCTGAGACAAAGGTTGATATGTTTTGCATCACATGCAGAAGTCAGTTTCATTGTGGAAATATGAATACCTCTATTAACTGCGTAACCAAATTTTATTCCATTACCATTTTAACAAATTCAGCAGCAGAACAACCATTGCCCGAAGGAGAGTCTGAAGAGCCACAAGGTAATATCCAAATATCTACCTTTAATAAACTGCAAACATTATCATGAACAAAATATCTCCATTTTCTACCATTTTTACGTCTAATATTAAGGAGCATGTTACACTCAGCTTTAGGTTGAATGAAAATGGGGCAGTGAGTAGTATCTGTCAGGCGAATGCCAACATAGTCATTCATATTGAACATTCAACCCCTAAATCAATTGCCTACTACTATCCAACAATTATGACTTCCAGTTCACTAGCGAAAGTGAAGTCAATTATTTCAGCGTATGATAAGCAAGCACAAACAGCGAATTTAACGACATGTTTTTATTCAATGCAACATCATCAGAGCATTCAATTTGACTGAGTATCTGCAATCACACACTCACGCTTTTCAAAATGTCAATTTCATTGCGAAACATTTCTCCCTTAATTATATATGTAACCTAACTTTATCTCATTCCCTATTAAAACAAATCCAGCACCAGATCATGAAGAACAACCAGGAGATTCAGAAGAGCCAGAAGGTAATTCGAACAGGTTCACCTGTATAAAATTATTGTAATGAAAATATTCACAGTTCAACATCCATTTATTTTCATATGAGCGATAGAATTAATCGTTCAAATGATTAGTTTACCAGATGATTACAATTACTTACTACAACATTTTGAAAAAATGACAGTGGGAATAGCCTGCTACACTAATGACTCAGTTTTCTTTCTTAACACTTCACTTGTCAGTTGACTTAAAACGTCTATACAAAACATGCTGTTTATTCAAAAAAAGTTGCCTATCGTTAATCGCAGATGAAGCTGTTATTTTCACTGTGAATGTGGATCATCAGATAGCTTTTTTGACTTCTTTGTCGATTGTGAACTGTGTAAAATTATAAATGCTTAGTGAAGCAGTTGGAATCCGAAATGTCTCACTTCAGTTAGTTTACGTTTTCTGAGATAATGATCGGTATGTTTTGCATCACATGCCGAAGTCTATTTTATTACGAATATATGTATGTATACCTGCATTAATTCTGTAATCAAATTCTACTCCATTTGCTTTTAAACAAATTTAGCAGCAGAACAACCATTGCCCGATGAAGAGTCAGAAGAGCCACAAGGTAATATTTGAATGTTTGTTTTCAATAAGCCACAAATGTTACCCTGACTAAAATATTTCAATTTTCTATTATTTTCATCTACAGTAATGAAGGCAGTGAAATTCGACATTGAACTGCAGTTAAACTCAGCTTTAGGGTGGATGACAATGGGACGGTGTGGAGTAGCTGACAAGTAAACAAGCATATTGAAAATTCAACACCGAAATCAACTGCTTACTCCTACCTAACAACTATGTCACAGACTGGAGTACATGTGTTGAACACGACTGACTTCCGTTTCACTGGCGAAAGTGAAGTCAATTGTTCCAGTGTATGATAAACAAGCACAAACAGCGAATTTAACGAAATGTTTCTGTTCAATGTAGCATAATCAGAGCATTCGGTCCAACTCAGTAAATGCAATTACACACTTATTCCTCTCAGAAGAAATTAGCCATCTCAGTCCAGATGCATTTATTTTATTTTGAAAGTTTACAGTCCACTCATGAGGCTGTGGAAACCGATCTACCTATCATGACCTGATAAACAAAGCGCTCGTCGTTATTCATAGGTAGAACTGTTGTCTCCACCATGTAGGTGAACCACAAGACAGTTTTCCCTGCAACTTCTCATTATGGATTGGCTTAGAAACTTTGAACCACCTTGTAGCAGGTAGAATCCCAAACATCCTACAGAACATAATTGTCTTTCTTTCTGATATCATTATCCATGATGATTTATAGACTATGCAGGACTCGATTTCATTTCAAATCACTTCCTGTCAATAATACTCATGTGAACCTTGTTAATCATATTTCTTTTTAAATCAAATCAGGAGCCACAGGTGACGATGAAGGAAACGAAGAAGAAGGTAATTTCACAGTGTTAACTTCTGATACACTCGGAATATAATCATGAACAAACTATCTCCATTTTCCCATTCAATTGTATTGCTGTAGAACAAAATTGTAAACGACATATATTTAAAACCAGTCAGTATCGGCCTTATGTTGTATAATAATAAGACACTGAATACTAGCTGTGAGCTGGGCACGCACTCACACATAAATATGACAGACTGGTGCGTTAGTTTATCACTCAACTCCTCACAAAACAGCACAGACTGGGACATAAGTAGGAAAGATGACGGTATTCTGGTTCACTCTTGAAAGTGAAGGCCAGTGTGGAGGCAATATTTCTGTGCACATCCGAGCTAATGTCGTCGGGACACTATCTTGCAGTAGAAGAGTTGATGTCAACACTTTCGGCAGGTCACATAACAATCTTTTACTATTGCATTTCAAATTAATAATATTTCATAATCCTTTCAGTTGTAAGTGCTTTTGCATAATATATAACAGTTTCGCTGCGAATTAAATTCCTTCACTACTATCCATGTAACTCAGCTATTTCTTATTGATTCGAATACAGGTTCAACCAACATGAATGAAGGTAATTTCAGATTCTCATTGTTAAATAATTAATGAACATAATGGTAAAAATATTGGCATTATTATTCAGTTCAATTTTGTTGTTGTGAAAAACATAATTAACTACAACAAAGAGGTGTAGCCGAACCACATATTTAGATCTTCATCAGTCCATCTTCTTCAATCACTGATAGGCATCATTTAGAATAGTATTCAGAAACACGAGTCATCTTATTTTGAATGATTCAAACCGAACATTCAGTATGTCATTAGGTTGATTCTGCTTGATCGCAAGAGATAAGAGTGAAGCAAATCTGAACTACAGACTAATGCAGCTAACAAAAATGCACCAAATATAGCATGTTTTAATGGACAAATTCCATTTTCACTACATGAATGTGATGAGAATAGCTCAGAGAACTGGACCAGTTCCTAAACAGATGCGAACGAACTGTTTAGAATAACAAGCGAGTTCAGACGAATATCTATAATAAGACGTATCGCTTGGTCAACTATTTAGCTAAGCGATTAGCATTGTCTAACGCAACTATGTGCCAAAGAGGTGCATATGGGCTGGATAAGAAGGCACTTACATTTAAACGACCAACTGAGAAATACTCAAAATAAATAGTCAAATTGAAATTTGGATTGCAAATAAAATTTTATGCCCGATAAAATAGAACCATGGGAAGCAAACGAAATAAATCCAATGAACAAATACAAAGGTAGGAATAAATGTCATATGAGGAAACGATTCGACCCGTTTAAGACTCCATGGCCTGTGCATGCTATCAGAATATGCAGGAGTCGTTTCCAGTCTTTATCTCTTTCTTTCTGTCTCCATGACTTATGCCTATTGTCAGACTGTTGACGAGTCATTTTCAGTCAAAATCACTTCCACCATTAAATGTTTATGAAGTCCTTCCCTATTTGATTTTCTTTTCTTCGAATAGAATCAGAAAGCGCAGGTCTCGGTGACGAAGATGAATATGGAAATGATGAAGGTAATGTCACACATTCATTTATATTCCACCTTGAGGATGGTCAAAAATATACTGCATTCATAATTAAATTACACTACAATAAAGGCGGCTTTGAACTAAATGTTAAATAAAGTGTGTACTGGATGGTAGGACACACGTGAGAATACTCCTGACAGTTCAGGTGACCCTCTGCATATATTAGGCGTCGACGATTTTCTAATGTCTGTGAGATAAACATTAACAACCCTTATTTTCCCGCATCAAGCGACAAAGAGAAGAAATCCGTCAAGCCATTGGCACTTGTCACTTATGATAGAATGGAAGAAGAAGTTAAGAATAAAGCGTCGATTTTAATGTGAAATGATTTCATGTAATTCGGCGTCGTCGCATATATAATTGTGACGATATATCTGTGCACACACACACACATCTATTTCTTTCGGAAGACTTACGTCAGCTAAATGTGCATGGATTCCTTAAATCGTTCAGGGTTAATACTTTACTTATAAGACGGTGTATGTATATAAATTCTGAAATATCTCACTGCATCCGGTTCTTTTTGTGTGAAAAAATGTTAGATAAATACAGCATACCATGTTCAAAATTGAGTGCCATTGCAAACACTCACCTCCCTTCTTTCTTGTTATGCAATCCAATTTTATCCCCTTCTCCTTTGAACAATTTCAGAAACAGAACCACCAGTAGAGAATGAAGACGATGAAGAGTCACAAGGTAAATTTGAATTTTTCACTTTCAGGCAGCTTCAAATATTATAATGCACAAAATATTCTCAACTTTCATTCATTTTTATTCATGCATATAAATAAAGACTGAAAATTCGACAACGAACTTCAGTTATAGTCAGCTTTATCTTGTGCGACATTCAAACAGAATATAGTAGTTGTCAGGTAACCTCATACTAAGACATTCATATTGACAAGTTGAAACGGTAATCTATTCTTGTTATCTAGTTTGCTAATTAGTGACTGTCCGATGGTCCGATTGCGGAATTTATAATCAGTTTACGCAGAATATTTTCGTTAGTATCCATCCATGCTAATATCATTTGAAACACCAGGTTTCATATGCCTACATCATAATTGAAAATTAATCAACACATTTTTGAAATTTCATTCCAACTGTACAACACTTTCACAATCTGAACATTTGAAGTTGCAGCTGCATTAAATATGATAATTTGATAATACTTCCAGCAACATACTCTTCAATATTCATGTGGAACAATAAATTTGACTGCATCCATATCTAAATTAAGTCATTCTCAACATTGAGCCGCACGATAGATAGGGAGTGTGTATCAGCTATCAGGGTGCGCCAGATAAAAGCTCTGGACCAAATCAGTGACATGGTTGCCTGTATTCAGAGGCCATAATTTGCTGAGGTCTGTGAGGGAAGCACTGCCAACATCTGTCTTCAAGCATAAAAACTCGAGATCAGTCCACTGATACTAGTAGAGTATGAGAGAGAAAGAGAGAGAGAGAAACTGCATATACGACGTCAACGTCGATGTGAAATTACTTTGTCATTTAATGTATCACCGTAGAAGATCTAACTCAAACAAAGTGTTACACGCACACACCTTCACACATGCATCTATTTCTTTCGGAAAACCTAGGTCATCTGAATGTGGATTCATTTCTTTAAAACTTCCATACTAGATATTTCTCCTGTCAGTAGGTGTATTTATATATATATATATATATCCACTGAAACTGCCTCTTGAGAACAATCTCATGGTCACCTACTACAGATCAGATTGCTACTTTCACTACGAATGTCAACCACAAGATAGTTTTCTTTGGCTCCTTGGATGACTTTGACAACGACGAATCATGGAGACTCAGTGTAGCATTTCGAAGACGAAATGTCTTTCTACATTTGTTTTTCATGTTAGGACAAAATGTTTGATATATTTTGCATAATTGTCGACATTCAGGTATCATACTGAAAAAACCGCTGCTTCTCTCACTATGTAATCCCATTTCATCCCACTT